ATCCTACTCTTCGTTGAGGTGATCCAAAGAGACAGGTCTCGATTAACCCCTTGCCTCACTTATGCAAAGATCCCAGAAGAGGTCCACAGACTTCAACTCAACACTTCTAGGTCATTTTCTAGAATTGAGTGACCACCAAGATCCAACTCAAAATTCCTTCTAGAAAAGACCACAAGTGCAAGTTGCTCTACCTAGGACAACCTCTGAAAATTCAGCACAAGAATCTTTACTCACTTACCTCGTTTCCTTGCGGAGGTGAGGAAAACCTTCACAAACTTTCCCGGAACATCCATAAGATCTTTGGAAGCTCACAGGCGACACCTAACCGTCTAGGAGAAGATCTCCAAGAGTAATAAGCCCAAGTGACAGCCCACAAGGTATCCAAAGTGCTCAAACAAACCTAATCATCAAGCCATCTCCAAAACACTCCTACACTCTCATCTAATCTCTCAATCTCACAAGATAGGCTCTAGATTTGAAGTGGAATGGCCAAAGGGTGACCTAGGGACGAAATCCATATGTATAACGGCTAAGTGACGTCATCTAGCCGTTACTCACAAGTTTGAACTAGAAACCTGCCAGGAGGTTCTGGGTAAAAGTGCCAGGAACTTCCGGACAGCACTTAGGAAAAATTTTGCTTTGAAATGGCGCCCAGAAGTTCCGGCCAGAACCTCCGGGTAGCCCTCTCTATCCCGCGGAGAAAATCATTTTTCAAAAATGATTCTAAAAATCTTTTGACTCATGGATATGACTAAGAGCACTTTGTATACCCTAGAACCACACTTGAAACCCCTCTTAATAGTACGGTTTTTCCTAAACTCAATTTCGAAAGTGAAAAATCTAGTCTAATCACCTTCGGTGTTTTTCACACTTAGGAACATTCAAATTGTGGGGTCTCCTTGCATTCTTAGCCATCACAACTTGCTTTGGGATTAAAATCCTGTGAATAAACTTGATAAACACATTAGTCCCCTTTAACCACCTTGTCATTAATCACCAAAACCCACTAGGGGGTTTAAGTGCACCTTCAGGCTCGACCTCGGCTGCAGCGGATCCGACGAGGTAGCTGCGGATCAAGTTTGCGGCGACAAATTGAGCTTGCCAGCTCCAGATCGACCTAGGTGGGGTAGATTGTGGGAGGTGGCTACATATCGAGTGAGACGGTTGCGGATCGAGCTCGCTGGCTACGGACCAACATCGGCGGTATTGTTGAAGCCTCCCCACTTTCTAGTGACGATATCGTCCCTTTCCAAGGAACAGAGAAGACGCGGACGATGACACGGCCGAGCTCGCCCAATCCGCCCTAGGGATCGCCGGATCTGGCCTCTGGCGGTGGCCACATCTCAACCACCGCCATCTTCCCTTCCTACCCCACCACCATTTTCCCTTCTCCTCATTTGCATCTCTCCCCAGGTCACCGACGCCGCCTCATCAAGCTCGGGTTTTGGCCTTGCCGACGATGACCACCGCCACCTTACACAGGGTGTGGGGGCATCACACGGGGCCATGCCTTCTCCCAACGTGCTACTTGAGCTGTGCCACACCCCACAAGTCCTCAACCAGGCCCAGCGGAAATGGTCAATTCTCACTTTGTTGCTCGGTTAGGCTCGAGGGATTCCTAGACTGTATACCCCTAAGTCAAACCAAACTTAGTCTGGACGAGAGAAATGGACTAGGTTAGAGAGATATGAGTAACCAAACACACCTATATGTGTGTGGAGTTTTCCTACCATTAGTGACTATATAGTTTCCATTTTGTTTTTTATGATGAAATTCATTTTGGCCTTTTCTTCGGAAAAGCTACAACTAATTATTATAGAGTTCGTGGATCAGAAAATTACGACTTATAACATCGTAACTTGATTAAAAACATTAAAACTACTTAATACCAATTACCAAATCAAAGATATAGAAAGCACTATCAGTATAATACCGTTTGATACGATAGATCATTTTTATTCTTATTTCATATCGCTCGGAAAAGGTAGACGATTTTTCCCGGTCGTTTTACTGGTATGCCATTGTTGACGGTCATTATCAACCAGTTTCGACCGTCAATATTACCCAATTAATGAAGACTATCTATGCTTGTGACGCATAATTCCCGAATAAAATATCTACTTCCACTATATACTATGCTACTAACATCTATGTAGGAGAAGCACATATAAATGGAGGAGAATCGACAGAAAATAGACGAACGATCAATCAGACATTGTCGGGGATTAGACTTATGGATAGATGGGTTGAGAACTCAGAAATGACATGATCAAATAAGTCCAAAATTCCCTGTTTTGGATTGAGTAGCAAAGGAGGAGTCAGCCTGCCAAAAATTGGGCCGTTTGGGCCATATCATGATTCGGCCGAACTGGCCGAACCCCCATCAACGCCGTTCAACCTGTGGTTTTGCATGGATGTCCAGGATGCAGCCTCAATGATGGTTGCAGGGCAGTTAGGACATTTCCAACTGCCATAACCGTCATTAGCAGCTATAAAAGGAGCTTCTCTCATTCCATTCTACACACACCTCAAGAAAAAGATCAAGAGCTCTCCCAAGTTTAGTTTAGTAGTTCTATTGCTAGTTGGAGTAGGAAATAGAATAGTCTTCATAGTCCTCGAGTCTTCAGGAGATTACGGGTATGGCTCTAGTAGCTTTCCTCTTTTCTTTTATAAGACTTATTGAATTAATAGAATATTCTTCTTTATACATTTTCGATATTTTATTCCATTCATATTATTTAAGTACCGACTTTACTTTATACTTGAATCAATATAGTCGTGTAATTAGCTTTCCAGATACGTGTATTGGTGTGTGTATAATGTCCGTGTATTCGGTTGCTCTATGTCAGTTGCAAGGATGTAGAGTAGTATTTAGTAGTGTAAGCGCGGTGCTTAGATTATTAGATACCATTATTTGGGGTAATATGCAGCGGTTCAGAGGCTGGCCGCTGATGGTGACAGCTCAGTACGGGTGTTCCTCTGCATGTGTACATTATCCTAAGTACAATTTCCTGGGGAGGGTACTTCTCCGTATTTAGCCCTGGTTAGATGGCCATGACTGGTTGTCATAAGGAGCTCGGCAACCAGGGATGGTTTCTCGAAACACCAGGAGGACACTGGATATGGGGTATTGGTTGCATGGCTGTATACTAGCAAGTATAGACTAAAGATGTATGTATACTAGAAGTACAAGAATGATACTTTTCTTATTCTTTCTCCACTTAGCTTAGACTATATTTTAGTGATAGTAGTTCTTAGTTCTTCCTTCTGTGTGTCAACCTACCCTTTGAACTGAATAAACCCCTGCATAGACTTTGATGTATATAAGTAATATACGAATTGTTAGCATAGTTCTCTCTTATCATATCTTCCCTTGGGATAAAATAAATACGATACCTTGGAATACTTCCGGGTGAAATGCTATAATGATATAACCGTGTGCTTGCGGATCATATCTGTAACCATAATATATCAGGATTATTTCTAGTGCTATTGCTGGGAATTATATTTCCAGTAGTGTCGCTAAGAAATATCAACATCCATTTTCATCTGGTATTTTCAAAGAAGTTATGAAGCAACAGAATAAAGAAAACTTAATCCAACCTTCATATGTTGTCAGCATTTATGCTATAATATCGTTATTTAGTATTCAAATTGCTTTAAATTTTCCCTAATAAGTGTATATGTGTAAGTATGACTGTGACTTGTACTTGTAACACATATCTTTATGAGGCTCTATTTCGATAGTATTTCGATATTTTAGTTAGTACCTATATGTAACATACCCGAATTCTAGGATTAAGGAATTTCCATCAAAACTAGTTAAAAGGAAAGTTCTTCAATTTTGTGACAAAAAATTTCCATTTTTAATTCTAGGTGAAGTTGATCTATCTCTTGCATAAATAAAATTTGAGGGCAAATTAAAACCTTTTCATTTATAATATAGGACAAAAATGCAAATACAAGTGTAGACATGCATACACACATATGACATGGTTCAACTTGAGTCTTCTTTGTGCATTTGGATCTTTGGTTGGCACTGCATATTAAGACTCATGAGCATAAATAAAAGATAAAGTTTCACTAAGCGAACCTATAACCACACTTGAGCAATAATTATAAAGACATGAAAATGAGGTTAAATATTATCATTTTAGGTCAAGAATAGTCTAAATAAATTTCTTACAACTATTTAGATGCATCTAAAATTAGGAAATGTACATATAAAGATAAGTCTAATTAATTATCTGAAATAATTCGTGCATGTTAAAATCATATGAAAATTCATGTAGACTCTACTCAACACATACATCTCACTATAATTTTGGTATAATTTAATAACTAAATTTGATACCTAAAATAAATCAGTCAAACCAGTTAAATAATAGGATAATTATAATCCTTAATCGGCTAAAACCTACCCTCACCAAATGTGCATTAAACTGCATGGAAGTGTATAGGGGACATAATTTATTCAAACACTAGGTTAATTATCATAAATAAATATTATTTTTTTCAGAATTTATCTTCTCTGTCTAGGTCTCCTAAAAATCCCAATGAGCCTATCTTCTTTTAATTATTTGTGTGAGTAATCTATCCATAATTTTTAAGTGCAACCAAAGAAAATAGAATCTAGGTATCTCCATCTATCTCCAGTAAAATCCACAAGAATTTATAATGCCCACAAATTAAATTAGAACTACAAAGTGAAATAGAGAGAAATAATCCTGAAAATTCGTCCAAAATCACTTACACCCAATCATCTACCCATCCCTCTCTTCTCCACCTAGTTTGCCATGACCTGGGCCCACCTGGCAGCCACTTGGGCTTTCCCACTCCTTGTCCATCTCCTCCAACTAACCAGAGACAGCCGAGAGAGAGATCGGTGCCGGCAGAGTTCGACGCGTGCCATAGACGTGTCGCCGGCCTTAACTCCCTCCTTCTCGCTTTCTTCTCCTTCCATACGCATCGTCCTCTCCTCCACTCCACACCCACACAGAGAAAACCGAGGGGGAGCATCCTTGCTGCCCTTCTCCACTGTTTCTCCATTGCCAGCCGTGAGACGATGGCCTCCTCATTCGTTGATGAGCAGCAGTCGTTTCCTCCTATTTTGAGTTCCTCAATCTACTCTCGATACCATCTCTATTTCATCTAATTTCGTCCCATTCTATATAGCGGTTAAGCGGGAACGCCACCGTGCCCACGAACGCCCTGGAGCGCACACCGACGACCGCCATGGGGTTCTCGTCGTCGTTCCGACTGAACCGAACCACCCCAAGCCGAACCCTTGCGCCACCAGGATCGCCTCGACGTCCTCTTCAAGATGCCTCAAGAACCACAAGAATCGGTGAATCGAGGAGGGAGATCGGCGTCATCTTCTCCAACTCCGGCTACCGGCGTCGGTCTTCGATTCCTGCCGCTCCGGTGAGCCTCGCGTCGATTCCTCACATATACACCATTCTTGAGACCTCTCTAACCACCTGTACACCTTCTCTTAACTCCCCAATCCCCATCTACCGGACCAAGCTGTCACTGTGAAGCCGACATCATCCTCCGCCGCCGAGCCGTTCCGCGAGCCACCGCCGACGATCAAGCTGCGCCGATCCTTTCAGACTGCTTGGTAAGCACCCAGGGACCTGTAAGACTCACATGCATGCATCCTTCTAGTCCTACTCAAGCTCTAGCTCCACATGCACCATCATCCCGACACCCACCGCCGCTTCCACCGCCGTCGCCATCGATTCCGGCTACCTAAGTTTGCAAGAAGACCACCAACGGTTTCGCCTTTAGTTCCTCTTCATTTTCTCTTTTAGTCGCCACCTCAGACAAGCTGCCGTTCGCCGCCGGTGCCGGCGAGAAACTCACTGAGCCGCCGCTGCTCTGTCCACCGGTCACCGTCCCACTGACGAGCAGGCCCCACATCATTAGGCGCTGAGGACTTCACTTAGCAAATAGTTTAAAACATGAAAGACTTGTTAGTAACAAAAACTCTCAATGACATGTGAGACCAAAGACTTAATCGTAATAACCTAAATCTTAAAGAACTCCTAGCAAATCTTCAATTAACACGTGCTTAGGGACTGCGGGATCTATTTTGTGGAAATATAGGGGCCTTTTTACATATTGGCAGAGACTGACATGCGGACCCTCTTTAATAAAAATCTAGAAAAATCTAAATGAAATGCCTAAAGCTTTATATTTTTAATAGAAAAGCATGTAAATTTGTAAAATCCATAACAAATTGAAAACAACTCATTTTAGAGTAAATAAAATTTCTGTGAACTCACCAAATCATGAAATTTAAATTTATGGCATAAAAATTTGCACTCACTGTACAAACTTTTCCTCAAAAATTCATCTAAGTAAAATCACAGATAAAACTCGCACAAATTTATAAAATGCATGCAAAATTCATTTCAACTCTTTTTAGAGCAAACTCAGTTTCTACATACCCACCAACTTATGTTCTTACATAAAGTAAAATGAAATAGTATACATACTTCACATCAAATACCTATAAAAATATTAACTACAAAATGATTAGTTTTAGATAAGCTGAACTTTAGAAATTCATATAAAATTTATCTTAACTCCAATTTGAGTAAACTCAAGTTCCGTAGAATTTCTACAATAGATTTGTGCACTTCAATATTATAAAATAAAAAGACATACTTACTGTGTAATAAAAGCCTCTAAACATTAATGTAAGGAATAACCAACATAGAACAGCCTTTAATTTGTAAAATTTGTAGAAAATTCTTCTTTAGTCCAAATGGAGTGAACCGAGTTTCTATAGAACCAGCAAATAGCATAATAAAATAAAATATGGCATCTTCTGTACAAGTTATAGCTCTAATATTTAAATAGATAACCTAGGAGCTAATCACATAGTAATGGTTAAACAAAAAATATATGTGTAGAGCTATATAAAATGCATTCTAACTATGAATAAACCAAAATAAAACTTGTTAGGCCAGGGAAGTCATAGCTCCAGCCTTAATTCCCAAAAACTTAGCATACTTAACTCATGTAACAATTTCTAGGTTGGTAGGTTAAGTAACTAGCATTGAACATCCCTATTTATAAAATGTGTAGTAAAATAATATAAACTCTAAAATTTATGAACTAAGATTAGATTAGTTAACTAAAATACTCATTTTAAATATCACTAGCAAGATGGATCAAGTTCTGGACCTAAATCTCCAAAGCCATGTACACATAGAGACTATACGCCTACAACACTTTATAACTTGTAAAATACATAAAGAATTCATGTTAACTCCAAATATTTTGAAACCAAATGTGTTAGTCTTAGAAAACACATCTCTACACCTATGTGAAGTCAAACTTAATAAACATCACTTTATAAAAATATTTTATAACACTGCATAAGTAAATACTACTTCTAAAATTCATAACTCCCAAATAAAAAGAGATAAAATAGAAATACTTTCACCTAAATTCATCTTAGACTAGTAACTATCCATTGTGCACAAATCATGTGTTTTAGAGCATTTTGGATTTTTCGCATATTTCGGTGTTTAATTGCATAATGTGTACTTTATTTAGATAATTGCTTAATCGGTGAAGAAGTGAATTAGGTGCTGACATTTTCCAGATAGAAGGCAAGTCCCACCTCCCTCTCTTTGATCACATTGGTCCTATGTTTTGGAGGTTATTGAAAATGTTTGCAAATCTTGGATGTCATTTGTACACTAATACATTAAAATTTTGTAAAAACTTGTTAGAATAACACCTATTGATTGCATTATCACTTGAACTCCACATATAGCCATAACCTTCATTCCTAGCCCTAGAAACAATATGACTACTCACTTCATATGTGAGTTATGATGCTACTATGATACCATGATGCTTAGCCATGCTTAGTATGTGTAATACTTGTCATTTGGGCTCTTATTAACTTGAAAAATGATTTTATATAAGTTCTGGGCAGAAATGAATAAATGAGGAATTTGACAAACAAAATGATGAAAAACTTGAATTTTAAGTTTGGGCCTCATGTGGTATACATATGTTGACTAGTTGTATACCGATAGGGGGAGTGTGTGCCCAGACTGATCTACGGACATCACTCAATGTTATGTTTACCGTACATCCACATGTGTTATTATGGGGTGACCTTGGCCTATTAAGATAAGCACTTGTCTGACCTTGTATTTGGGAGACCGTTGTAGTATAGGTAGGGGCCACGAGTGTACTGTGGGATACCTAGAGGAACTACCCATGTGTGTGTGGGATACCTAGAGGAACTACACATGTGTGTGTGTGATCGTAGGACGATAAATTCCCTATGTGTGTGCTTTCCGTGAAGGGACGAGTGTACTGTTCCGCCTCACGGCATGGGCGTCTAAGTATGTCTAATACAACGATATTGTGCCACGTGGTGGGTTCCTGTTGTGTCCGTCATCACGGCGTTAAGTTTAAGGCGTGGGCCCACCACTTAACGGTTCTAGGTCATATATCAAGTATGGTCTAGGATGGAGGAACACGTATCGTGCTCATGCAAGGTTAGACAATACTTAATGTAAAAGCCTCGTTGTGACCTCTAGACCCACTCGATGTGTAGAGTGTGGTGGTACCGATGGGTACCGGACAAACTAGAGCGATTCACATCACGTGGGTAAAGCTGTACAAACTCTCCAAAGTCTAAAAACTAATCGATTAGCCGTGCTCGCGGTTATGAGCAGCATGTGGATATGTGTTGAGTATAGACTTGTGTTTATTCTTCTAAATGCTGAATGTTATCTTCAAATTATGATGAGATTTGAGAATGATCTCCTTGCTGCCATGGATGGCAATGAGGTGTATATTTATACATGATTAATGCCTACTTTGATGCCCATATGCTAAGTACTAGCTTGCTGAAATTTATTTAAAAACAAATCTGATTTGAAAGTGTTTTATGCAAATAAAATTTGCTTTATGCTAAAAAGAAACATAATATGCCTTCCTTGATTATATGCCTTGCAAGTAGAGTGTTAGGCTTGTCTTGGTGCTTGCCAGTACATTATTTCTAATAGTGTACTGACTGTTGCTATTGAATTAACGATTTGCTTGCAGGTTTTAGACTTAATCTTTTGAGTGATGCGGGTGATAGTCTGCTTCTTCTAGGACTTTGAACTTAATGAGGTAAACCTCTAGTCAGTGTGCTTGAGGATTGGGTAGTCAAGCTTCCACTGTTCTAATATTTTTATTCAGCCGGTCGGCCTATGTAACTATGAAGTAGTTGTAATTTAGATCCTTTTCATCTTAAGTGTATTTTGCTATGTATTTCCATGTTTAAGATGAAAGTGTGAATCTAGTGCACATCCTGGGAACTAGATTCACATGAGTATGTGTTAAGAATATTTGAGATGCTAAAGTCCTGTCAATGTCGACATACTCGATGTTAGCTTATGTTGCCATGTGGATTCGATGCACATGAATGCCTTGTATTTATACACATGAATGCCTCCTTTTTTTTTGCGGGGACATGAATGCCTCCTTATCCAAGTTGAACTCTAGAGGCATACTAGGATCCGAGTAGTCCTAGTCATTCCTTACACTACTGGAAAACTCATCTTTAATCCCGGTTTGCAACTCTCTTTAGTCCCGGGTTGCAAAACAGGACGCCCAATCCGGGACTAAAAATGTCCATCTTGGGACTAAGGGTTTTTTTTTCATTGTTTTTTGCTGTTTGCATGTTGATTTCAAACCAAACTCAACAACAAAATCATCCACGTTCACAAAAATATCACAAAATCATTCACAAATTCAACAACAAGAACATCCACATTCAAAAAACCATCCACAAATTTATATCACAAAATCATCCACAAATTCATAAAAACATCTAAAAATCATCTACAAATTTACATCACAAAATCATCCAAAATCATCACAAATTTACATCCCTTCTTTCTTTCGCTCAAAATCAATGGAAACGCCAGCGCTCGCCGCCACCGTCCGTGATGGCCGCGCTGAGCACCGCTGTCGCCTGCCGTAGCCTGCCGGCCACCGCCACGGAGGGGAGGGTGCCTTAGCCCGCCACCCGCCACCCACTGCCTGCCGCCCGCCACCCGCTGCCGACAGCCCACAGAGAGGGGGAGGAAAGGAGGGGGAGGAGGAGGAGGAGGAGGAGGAGGAGGAGGGGAGGATAAGAAGATAAGAATGAGTAAAAGAAGATAAGGATGAGGAGGGAGAGAAAGATAGATTTTGGCTCTCTCTCCCTCCCATGCATGCTTTTTTTTCTTAATCTTTAGTCCTGGTTGGTATAAACAATCGGGACTAAAATGATCTTTAGTCCCGGTTGGTAACACCAACCAGGACTAAAGACCAAAAGTTTCGTTGGGCTTTTGAACCAGGACTAAACATATTCTTTAGTCCAGGGTTTCTATTGGAACCGGGACTAATGTGATTTTTGGCCGACCTACGAAAGATCAGCTCTCTAGTAATGTTACTTCTCATTGTTTGTTTCTTTACCTGCTCAGGGATCTATCCCGTACTTAGGGATATCTTTCTTTAAATAATCGGATATGTAGTATTTCTGGTGAGTAAGTGCACGTCTATAGGGTATTTCGTACTTACTACACGAATACCTCTCGTATGACACTAACACTAGTCACTCTATCAACAATTGTTCTGGGGAGGCATAGTCCATAATCTTTTCACCATATACATACATTAGTTTTATAAAGTAAATATATCATTTTTGGTCAAGTTTTATCTTAATAACCTAAAAATGTTTCCTGACAACAAATTTACTACCATATTCGTCACTATTAATGACATTGGTATCCAGCTTCGGTCCACCAATATAACATGAGTACACACCTATCATTCCCAACATGCTTCGTGGATATCCAATGCCAATATGGCATGCACAGACGCGTACACATCTATATATATTCCCAACATATTTCCTTTGTTTCTAGCTCTAATATGCCAGGACGCATCCACACCTATATATTCTCCACACGGTTCCTATTTTCTGTCCTTTTATCACTATAAAACCACATATATGCCAACACCTTGTCACATCCAATTCTCTACACATTGTCCTAAGACATCATAGAGGTGAAGAACAATGACAAAGCGGAAGATTGAGATCAAGCGCATCAAGAATGAGGAAGCACGCCAAGTGTGTTTCTCTAAGCGTCGTCCTAGTGTGTTCAAGAAGGCCAGCGAGCTCTATACCGTCTGTGGTGCAGAGGTTGCTATGCTTGTCAAATCTCCTGCTGGTAAATTTTTCTCCTTTGGTGCCCCCTCTGTCGGATTTGTTCTTAGCCGCTTCCATGCTACTACTACTTCTAGAAAACACTCCAGTATGGGTGTTACGATCCAACATGATAATAGTGCAACAATCAAACTACATGAGTTGAATCAACAACACATAGAGTTGCAAAACCAACTGCAAGCTCAAAATGAGAAAATGAAAGCGCTACAAGAGGTTGCTAAGAAGGAAAGTGGGGGAAAAGTGATGGGTTGGTTGAATAGCAAGGTTGAAGATATATGCCAAGAAGATTTGGAAGAGTTCAAGATGGTGCTTGAGTCTCTAAAGTACTTGACGAGGGGGATAATTAATCAACTCTTTCAGAATTATGCTATGTTCTCTAATATGATGCGTGTGCAGCATTGTGTGACCGCTTTGCCCAATCAACAATTCCTTCCGAGCAGTGAAGATGTCAAACCGATGATTCACCATGTTCCTAGTTCAAGTTATGGATGGAACACAAGCATAGATAGCAAACCTAATTCAAGTGATGCTCATGTTGTTGGGGCCAGGAGGTACTTTCCGAAGTGATGGATACAAGTTGCAACAAGATAAACCACAATAATTTACGAGTATTTCCCTATTTTGCAATGATTTAATGTTGTTCTTTTTTTAAGTTACTTCTTCTATCCTTTGGAAACATTATCATGTTTAAGTTGAGCAAGTATGATAAATGCTATTTTCTATTCCAAAACATGTTTTGGTAGTTACTATTTAAATTCCATGCAAACAGTATCGTGTTCTACTCGAACAACTATCATGCACAACAATTTCTTGTGTAATCATATGGTGTACTATGTTCATATATTAATTTGTCCTTGGATTGTGGACCGTGAATCATAGGAATATATGTTCACACACACATATATATATGGTGCACAACGTGCCATGCAGCTGCCTAGCGCACACCGCAGGAAGCGCCTTCCCCTATCACCGGATTTTCCATTTTTCCCCTCCTATCATGCACCTTTTTGTTTTTTTTGTCTGGCTTGCTTCTGATTTTGTTTTAATTCCTCACGATCGTCTATCTAACAACATAGCACCCCTTACAACAACCCCTGTCCTACCACATACAGCCACATACAGGCGCACCCCCACCCACCCACCCTTCCCCAACACAACCTCAATAAATTTTCACTCACGGACGAAATCACTAAGACCGCAGCCCACCTATCCCCCCTCCTAGCGATCTCAGAATTTTTTTTACTCTGCGGAAACATTAATATCGTGCCTTATAGGTGAAAATATTTTCTTTACCTCTGTGGTAAGCCCCTACCACCAATGCGCACAAACAGATGGTAGCAGTAATTTATTTACAAAAATAAAGTACTAGTATTTATACCATCGGTAACCAGTCATACCACCGTATCCAAATATTCCTCACATCCTCACTCCGTTTTTTTCTAGATCCAGAGCAGCCTCAGCCGAGGTGATTTCCGGCGATGGCGATCGTCACTGGCTACGGGAGAAAGCGACCACCTGCTCCTCTGGCCCCTTCTCTGCGTGCTCGCCTGCCATGTCTCAACTTGCAGCCCTCCTCGGCCGAACTTGTTTTGCATCACCCCCTCCATGGATACATCACTATTTCCTCCCTCTAGGAACGACCTTCGCGATGATGTGAAAGGAGAAGGTAGCGGATCCGGGCCTGCTACCGTCAACCTCCATCCTTGTCCTCACTAGCCGAAGGCGGGACCAAAGGATGCATGTGCCAGATTGGGCACGAGTATCACCACTGGAAACAGACCCAGATGGGAGGAACCACACGGGCAACTTGCGCTCGAAGGCGACGGCAGCGGTGACGATGCTGTCTTGTGGTCTCTTTCTTCACGCCCGTGGTCCTAGGGAGGGGCTTGGTCTCTGTGGACGGTGAGAGCCACCACAACCCATGCTAGTGGTGGGTGGCATCAGCGGAACTTCCTCGTACCGGTGGTGGGCAGCACGCGGTCGTCAGCCCAACCTCAACCACTTCCTCACGACCTCTATGGTGCTTGCACGGAAGAGGGGCGCCCCCAGCTTGACTTCCGCCATCACCCTGCTGCTGGCGCTAGGCCGGACTCCGTAATATGTGTTGTTCGTACACACACTACATGAAACTCACGATACTATGTAGGTTCGTAGAATGTCTCAGAAACGCCCCTCCGATCCCCTGCCTATTGCACCCTCACTTGATGCAGTTAGTAATATTTTACTACCATCTAACCACCACCATCACTAATGGATAACATTTTTTACCCTAATTTTTTTATCCCCAATCGAACTACATATATATAGTTATGTAGTCATATATATATAGCATGTTTACTCCAATCCAAAAGCTAATTTTAGGTGCATATGCAGCTAAGTTGAACACACAACACATCTGTTGATCCATAAGAAGCAATTAAGTTGGATGAACATTCCTATGAACACGTATTTGTCCTTCCCATACTCGTTGACCCATGTTTGGTGAATCTATAATCTATAATCTATAATTTCTATATAGTTGGTATCCGCTAACTTCTAAAGCTCAACATGCAAGTGTGCCACATCATCACACACACTACCAATTATTATCTAGAGTATTTTAAATCTCATGAAAACATGGCATAGCATTTGTAATTTTGTTGTATTTTTTAGAATTCAGCATGCAAGCAATGTAAAATCACCATCTTCACATCATTTTCACATTATTTAAACATATATGTCTATCATTTTTATAATGTATAACATGCATTCATCCACATATCCCGAAACAAAGCGCGGGGTATCAACTAGTTATAACATGCAAAAGAAGGCAACTAGCTCGCACAATGTGCATGGATGGTTTTCCTTGTACGATTAAAATATGCTCTAATTGTCCTTACTAATTATCAAATAAGGAGTGTGTTGCTTTTAATTTCTTTCCTCCCAAATTAAGGTGGTTGTTTTCTCTCTTGTTTCAGAAAAACATGTAAAGCATCAATATACATTATCATAGTAACCTTGGAAATATCAATTTCCGTGGTTCCAGTGCTCCCACCATTGGTTGCTGTCATGTGTTGCTATTATATTGCTGCTCGCTGCTCAGCCTTGATTTGCCAGTGATGGTAGTGTCTAGAAGAGGATGATAAGGGAAATATAATTAGAAAAATGGGATTTTCATGGATTTTATAATTTGATAACAAATTCTTCACTATCAGGATAAACCTTAATTATTCTAGGTAGGTCAGAAATTACCAAGGCTTAAAGCTCAACTAATGGGTTAATGATTTTCTAAAGAAGTTCTTGGTGATTTAGGAACATCTAAGCTGATCATGGAGGTTAGTCTATGGCTCAAGCACTAACTAACTAGGCCTATGCCTCTGTCCCTACCTAAATATAAAATTTGATCACTAGTGGTTTAAATTTAAAATACCGACTCATAGGTTAAACATTGTTTTAAGGCAAAAATTGTAACAAAACACCCAAGTTTGTGCTTTTACCATGGGATACCCAAAGGACATGACACAGTTGTTTCACATCCCGAAAGACTGGTAATTAGCTATGGGACGTCTTGACCATTATTTTATTACTTCCGATCCAAATGGAGAGAGAAAGCATATGCAAAAGACAATTTTGCCCCTAGCACTAAAAATGCATGTAACTAAACTAGATCCAAGCCACCCTCCCACTCCCGTCCCCCCTCTTCAAAACACTAGAATTTGGGGGTGGTGACAACAGTGTCCATGGCAGCCCTTGGGGCAAAATTATCTTTCTTAAATGGTTCTCCGATCCCTCTATTAGGACATGAAACAATAAAATAGTGGACACAATATATCACAGCATATTACAAGTTTTTCATTGTGTCCAACAGTTGTTTCACCTTTTTGGGTGTTGTCCAACAAAGATCGCAAACTTTAGGTGTCCTACAAAAAAATTTGCATTATTTTAAAATCTTCTACTTATCCGCAAGGATTAGAATGTTAATCTAAACAAAAGTTTAGGTATTTTACATATCTTTCTAGTGGCGTTGGTCTCTTTTAATTTGGATTAACGGTTTAAATGTTGTTACCAAAATACTACTACTGACCAAGGCTGAAATATGTGAACATAGATAGATTTAGATCTTTTGAATAACATGAATTGAAGCTTGAGATACACTTAGTTTATATATTTAGTTCAAAAGTTTAAAGCTTATGGCTAGTATAACAAGGCAACTTGCTTTAGCTAGTTGTTTGTTTTGGATTTTTTTTTTGCAGTTTATATCAAGAATTTGGTTGTGGTGTTCAACAAGTAGCTTGGCATTTGTTTACAAATAAATTTGGATATGACTACAAATCGGTTCCCAATTTTTCCAAAAAAAATGAGCATTGTTTGCCCACTTGTAGAAAGAATGCTTCAACACTAGATCAAATATGTTTCAAACTACTAGAATAGTGAAACACTATCGAATAATGATCAAAACATATTGATGTTACACATGAAACATAAAGCTTCAACTGTGGAAACATTAACTAATCTACAAGAATCAAAGAGAAAAAAATATGAAACACCATCAATATACCCAGTGCAACATTTTGATCAAACACAACAAATATCAAGATATATTGGTTGAAACATCGGACAATCACAAAATATACCGGTCTACACATTGCTTCTTCCTCCTCTTCAATGGTTGGATGTCCAAATTCTCCTTCCAAGCTGACCACCCAATGATGAAGATGGGTCAGCCTTATCCGCATGACGAAACTCATGGTCATTACTACAGCCATGACGAGCAGACCATTTTCCTCGTGACTTGATTCTCAATACATTGTTGCTCCTACTTGTTCCTCCTCTTGGTAGAGAATATCGAGGGCACGGTTCTCGGTATGGATGTTTTCAGAGCAGCAAGCAAGGTGGCTTCCATGACCGTGAGAGGAGAGTGAGGAAGAGGAAGTAGCAGAGTGATTTGCCTGTCAGTGGGATTGAGGGACATGGAGAGAGTGGATGAGGATAAAGATTAGGTTGTGGGTTCCGATAGTTAGTGCATGGGGTATGGAGCAAGTGGGAGAGGGGATGGAGGAAACGGAGTACTGTGTACGATGTTTTCTTATGCATTGAGCATCTGAGGGGGATCATTCTCCAATAAATTTTGAGTATTTGTTTTTTTTTCATGTTTGCATGTTTCTTCTCCACCTTGCTTGATACCAATTTATTGTCAATGTGAAGGCAAAGACAAGTGCATGATAATCTTATTTGATGTGTACCTTTTGAACTGGTTTGCTCTATTTACTTTAGTCTCTGTCGACGGGGGATACCCGTAGACCGGATAAATTGGGTATTGGGGTACGTTGGTATGAGGATCTAGACGATACGAAATCAAAGTAGACAAGGGACAAGGATTATACTGGTTCAGGCCCCTCATGAGGTAATAGACCTAATCCAGTTTATATGAGGTTGATATGGAAAACCACAGAGTACAAAGGGAACAAATGAATCCGGCAATACCGGCGGGATCCTTGTCGAGATTGATCGATGAGATCTCCCGGCGACTTCGGCTTGAGTTCTTCGGCTTCGTAAACTATGGTGGGTGTGTTGGCGCTATGATTTGATGATCCTGAGCACCTACGTGTTGTGCCTTTTATACCGTGAATTGTCTTAGTCTCCAAGTAGAACTCGAAGACAACGAACCCTACACGATATAGAATAGTCCCTATCCTCTCCGAGTAGGACTCTAATAATCTCCAGCCCGTGAGGATATTTTCCATAATATCTTGTATATTTCCTTTACCGCTTACGGAAACGTATCGTAGGATATGAGGTATACCAATCCGGTATATTTGGTAAATCGTAGGATAGGAGGTATGCCTTATCCGTAACCCTGATAGTCTCATGTATCATTAG